GTGAAACATGAAAGCACTCCAGACATATGGAGAGAAAGATGGAAGTGTTTGTCAAAAATTATCTACAAAAATTTCTAAAAATATGGTGGCCAGATCAAATATCAAATGAACACGTACTAAATCGAAATAAAACATGGTTCATGCTGAACAAAATGAAAAAGTAGAAGTAAGTAGGTCATACGCTTAGACAACCACGAGATTACATAACGAGGCAATTGTTGGACGTGGTGGAGAAACGCCATCGATAATGAGCGAGCTGAAGCACGATATATATGAAATGACATCTTCAGAGAAGCACATAATAGAGTCAGATTTAGAAGAATTATTGAGGCCATGTTCCCCACTGGGGAAAGTGGACAATAATAGTAGTAGTATGCTTGTTTTTTTTTTTTTTGTTTGCGTGTTTTCGGCACACACAATTGTTAATCCTTACAATAACTCCATAAGTATTTATCCCTAATATTTCTTTTCAGTTGAGAAAATTGTGCCCTACAATAATACAAATGTTCCACTTCTAATTTGTATGTACTTTTGTATGTCTGCTCTTCTAAAAACTGCGTCCATTGAAATGGATTGAAGGGTGCGATGCGTATCGTGTCGCTTCTATTTAAGTTGAAATTGATGTTAACAATAATGACGTCATCGGCTGTAATTTCTCCATTTGTGCTGATTATGACACTTTCGCCGACATTCTATTTAATTAAATTTTCTATATATTTTCTATATATAATTTTTTGTATTTATTGTCTAATAACAGAAATCATTTATTTTATTTTCACTTTGCAATTGTTTCCTCTCGTAACTGCCTTACACTTGAGGTTCACTTCAGTCCTCAAGCGCTGAGGGTGACAGCATCAGACTATTGTTTTGTCCTTTTTGTTGTTGCTTTTGTTATTGTACAACACAAGCACCAACGATTTTAACACAATTTGTTTCCCTTTTATTCGTCAGGCGTCGGTAATGAGCATATTTTAGCGGAAAATGCTGATTTAGCAGTTGTTTCCGTATTTCTAGATTGCGTGTGTACGTCAGGTCCTTTGTGTGTGGAAATTGTCGTATCTTTTCTGGGTGAATGTCATCAACGGCATAGCTGTGGCAATATCGTTACGTTCACAATATTGACAGGTTTTGTTGCCTTGCTTTCAGATAGATTGCGATAACAATACATTTTCCTTTTTATTAAAGTTAAACATTATCACTTACATTAATTTCTTCGATATTATCAGCTAATAATAGGAAAATGCTTTCATTTCATGTGTTAAAATTACAACTTTTTTTATAAATAAAAAATTATACCGAAAGGATAAATTTATTGTGTATCATATATAAATTTAATATGCAATGAAATTAGTTAAAAAATTAAATTCTAAAAATTGATGGCGTTTTCGATTGTTAAATCTGGGGTAATCGAGATGCACTTTAAACGCACCTTTAGTGCAACTTCCATTTTCAGAAAAATCTGGAGCACAATGTGTAACACTCGAGATTAATTTATAACAGTTTCTTTTTAAAGCTTTTCTTTGAAGCCTCCGTTAAGGATTAAAGGGCAGATGAACCCTTCTGTCAGTTCTCAAGATCAAGTTGGTCCAAACTGTAGTAAAAACGTACAGTATGCAAAACATCTGTTTATGAGTGTCCAATCAATTATTTAAATTTATTTTATTTTCAATTTTATTTCTTATTTTCTGTTGTCAAAGCGAATTTTCATTCTCATGATATGAATGACTTGATGTCTTAACCTTCAACGGTGGATTAGGACATCAACATTTATCAAAATCAACAACAGCCTATATGTACCTATCACATGAGCACACTTTGCTCGTCATATGAGACTAGAGATATGTGCAATATTGTTACCACAGAACATTATGAGGAATGAAAATTCGTTTGTGCAAGGTCGCATATTATAATTATTAAAGTAATAATTATGTTTGCAAAGCAAAGTGGTATATGAACTTAGTTCAAAAATGAAAGAAAATAAGAAAATAAGCATATATTAGGCGACTAAGAAACCTACGCAAGTAATGTTTCCTTTTTTATTTGTAAAATGCATACAATTTCCTAAAAGTAAGACGGATTCGAATAGCAAAGAAAGAACAAACACAAAAATTTATTTTTAATTTTATTGAAATTTGGCTGACCATACAACACTGTTTCGAGTATTGCCAAGTACTCTTCATCAGTGGTCTTTGGAAATAATCGAATTTTATTTAATTAGTTTATAGTCCGTATATTATTTGTTTGGACTGCAAGTGCCAGGCTTAGAACTCGTGCCTGTCTAATTAGAAGCGATGACTAATCTTGTTTATCCACAAATAGCTAAGGCTGCACAAACTTTCAATGCTCAAGTTCCAGGTTTTGTCACTTATTTTTATTTATAGTGACACCAACCAAAGCACTTGCCGTGCTTTAAATTGGAACAATATCCGTCAGAAGTGTGACCGTTCCCAAGACTAAGCTGAGCGATATCTTATCGCTATTTTAATGCCGCTTAGGACATTATCGTGGGAATTGTATGCATCTATACCTTGCGGAAAATTGTATAAAAAGCTAAACTTTTAATAATAAAATTCAATTCAATCCCAGCATTCTTAGGAGTTTTAATTTGTTTTCAAGTGCCGATTAAGACTCAAAGCGAATAGGTAATAGAATAAAAAAGAAATTATCCGAGAAGCAGTTTACCTGAAGTTGGTTCAAGTGCCAAATTCAGTATTTGCAATAGGAACTGGTTCAAGTGCGCGATCCATTCAGGTATCGATTTAGATTCAATAACAAACGAGCTATTGAACAATGAAAACAGAACGAAAAAATAAACGGGGTATTTCCATATCTGACGTGTCTAAATAGCATATGTAAGAGCTTAGTTTTCAACTAAGAGTTTTATAGTCTTATAGTCTATAAATAAAATAAATAAAAGTAATAAAAAACATGGATAAAAAATTTTATTTAATTATAAGTATATAAACAGATATATTATGTAGTCACATCACTGCATAGTTTTCTATGTTTAGGAGAACCGCCAGTCGATAATACTGGTAATGCTGGTAATGTAATGCTGTATCGATTTAGTTAAAATATTGAGGCTGCAAAAAGTAAAAGGAAATTTCAATCGGAATGGAATATTATGTTACGCAGAGAACCATTTGATAAAAAAAATATACATTATGTATGGTCAGCAAAAGTTAGTTGAATTATTTAAATAATAAAATTGTTATAGATGGAAAAACATATTGTTCTATATCTTCTGCTTATTTTATATATTTTGTATTTTCTTACTTAAAGATGATAGCAAAATTGGATCTTTTTTACAGAAATGGTAACTTTTTGAACCAATTTTGGTACAGAAAAAAATTTTTAAATAGCATTCATGTCAATAACAAAAATATAGACAGACTTCCAAGTCTGTATTTTTAATTGTATTGTAGTTGTACTTTCACTACTTTCACCTTTCTAATACAGAACTGCTCTTATGTTTACGTTGAGCACTTGAAGGTTTGTAGCTTCAGATAGACGACTTCTATAGCGAGTTCTATAGCGTTTTATATTAAATAAAAGTACGTTTAGGCTCATTGATTCTGCCAATAATAAATTCTTCTACTCTATATTTATTAATTTTATATAGAGCTTCTAACGAATATTATTGAGTGCTTATATTGTAGTTGTTTTGAAACTTGATTGAATGGGAAGAAAGTTGTAATCCTAGATCTGCTGCTTCTGTTTTTGTCATATTTTGTGCTATTTTCACGGCTAGACCTAAACAAGTTTACGTACAGTGAGATCATATTAATCTGGGGACTGAATCAACTATGGCATAGTTGATAGGCATAGTCATATTAATCTACACGTACCTATCACACAGTAACACAGGTAGTAGAGGAATAAGCAGATAAGTTGATAAAATGTGGCTTTGCAATACATTCGAGTTAACAGCAATGTTATGTGAAGTATTAATGTTATATCGGAAGGATACTTTTCTTAATTATTTTTCAAAGAAACTAATGCCTGAATCAGTTTCTCGAATTAATGAAGAAGGTAGTTGGTCTAAATTCAACTCGGTTGGTTTTATATAAAGTTGTTGCAGTAGTGAAGGTTATGATCGTCAAAATATTTCACTTCGGGATAAAAAGCAAGATTGTACTTATATAATTGTTGGAGGCATTACTGGTTTTAAATTTTTTTTTAATAATTGTGGTCTACAAGCTAGCCATACTTTCTCTCTTTTTGGATTTCCTCATTGGCTCTGCTTGAAGTATGGAGATTTTACTAGATCTTTAAAATCAGTTCGGAAGCTAAATAAAGAACATGATTTCATTGTGTTGATTGAGTTCCAATATTTTCCACATTATAGATAATACTTTTGGACGGTGACTGCATTAATGGTTTCATTTGACTGCTCATTTGGCGCTGATTAGTTTGATCGTTGCAGTTTGTGCACTTGTCAAATATTAAAGAGCAAAGGTGACGGTATCATTTGCATCTAGGATAGGTAGATGTGCGGGATTAGATAATACTCGCACAAAAAATTGTAATGCATTCGTAAGAAGAAAGCAAAGGTTTCCGCGCAATAATGCCGGAAATGCTTAAAGATCAAAGATAAAAAATACAGAACAGGGAAATAAAATTAAGAAATAAGCTGGACAGAAAACCATATAGTAAAGGTTATTAATAACCATGACATATTTTAATGAAATTCGGTGAAGGAGGAGTGACCAGCTATCCAGTTCGAGTAAAGGAAAGTATCTGTATGAGAAGTAAGAAAATGGGAGTAACAGTGTTCTAGGATTAAGAAAATTATCCACTTTTAAGTGAGTGTATTTAATAGCATATTCGTTTATTAACGGTTTATTTGCATATTAATCCTTACACAATTTTGTGTATATTTTATATAAAAATGCGCTTTAAATTATACACATTACAATATATTATATGAGTTATATGGCAATACTCATATAATAAAAAATTTTTTATTACAAAATATATAGAAAAATATCAATTGCAGCATTTCGTTGTGAAATTTAAATATAAAAAATCGAAGGTTCTTTTTCATATAAAATTTTGTGTATAAAAAAGTCAGGCCGTGCATTTGTGGATCTCTTTTAGCTTTTATGCGAGCAGATTATTTAACTTCATAAATAATATTTTGAATTTACGTTCAAGTTGAATTTTTTCTTTTTCTAAAGCCAAAGATTGATCTTTCATATCAATATATTTTGGAACGCTGGGTGCATCAAAGCGCTTAAGTACACTTCTTACTTTACGTATCTGTTCCCTATATGCATTGTTTTTTTGTTTATGTCTATTTATCTCTCTTTTTAATCTTGAAATTCCAGCACTAAGTTCATCTGTCTTTGCAGTAAGGCGTTTGTGATTTTTACTTTCCAAAACCAATGAATAGCGCTGATTCCTCATAGATATCTCAGCATTAGCTGTAATCATCTTAAGTTCATAAATTTGCCTTCTCTTCTCTTCGTCTGATTTCAATAGAAAGTTTCTTATACTAAGTATCTCTTCGAAATCAATAGAACTAATAAATTTCGTCGCTTCGCGTCTTAAGACAATTTCTGAGTGTAGTGCCGTATACTCAGTGGTCAGAGCATCTATTTGAAGACGCATTTTATTTAATATAAGCTGTGCGCTTGACTGATAGTTCATTACATATCTATATAGTATCTTTTTAATTTGCTCTTCATTTAAGCGGCTCAAAGCCTTTAATTCCTTTTCATTGCGAGCAAAATATGAGCGAAACCCATTCAGAGCTGTTGCTTGATCGGAAAGTTCCATTTCATATTGCTTGATCTCTCCATATAATACTTTTAAATCGTCAGTACCTTTAAGAATATATATTAAAAATATTTTTATTAAATATTTAATATAATAATATGAGATTGTCAATATGTTAAGTAAAATCTGTGTAATATCTATATGTATAATATGTAATATTACATGTATCATATATTATATGATACATATAATATATGTATCTGTGTATATTATGAGTGTATCCTCATAAGCTTACTATTAAGATCAGTGTATGTTATGAAAGATCTATTAAGAAGATAATGTTAAGAGTATTAGGTTAAAGAAGTGGTGTTAAGCAAAGGACTTTGTTGCAGCAACATTAAAAGTTATAAGAAATTGTATATAAGTAGAACAATTTTTAATAAAATCATCTGTTGAAATCTAACTTGTGACTTTGACAGATCTTGCTGTTTACAAGAATTCTTACATTTTGATATTCTGCTCACTAGCAGAAATCAAAAGACATTCAACAATTAGAAAACATTACACAAGGTTATCTTCCTTATACCAATCACCTCCATTGTTTATAAGTGTGTAGAATAGTACGATACAGGCCATTCCGGTATACGGAAATGTGCAGACTGATGACATACGCTAAAAATGTATATTATGTAAAGTCTATATATTCTAAACAATGTTTAATAAAAGATGAGACAGTTAATAAGGAAACATATGTTTGCAAATCGCACCCCTTTTGAGGCAGAAAAAGTCCAAAAATGTTGTTGAGACATCCCGTATAGTGGCTATACTGAAGAAAATGCTACACTAATTTTTAAGCATTGGTTTCATTTTAAAAAATAAAAGATAAAAGATATATCTCATAAAAGAGATATATTTTTGCTGTAAAGTGTGTGTTTTCTGATAGAGTGAAATTATTTCTAATACTTTATGCATGAAAGCTTGATTTTGATTTAATGGATTACAAATAAAAGGACTGTGTAATGTATTTCATTACACAGTCCTTATATATCAAATAAAGTACAGTATAATTAGAAATTCAGGAAAAGAAACAACTACTGTCTACTGCAGCATAACAGGTTATTAAATTTTAAAAATGATTTTTTTTTGAATTTCAATTATATTTATGAAAATTTATGAAAATTTGTGATTACCTTTAGCTCTAGCAATTGCGATTCGCTTTTCCAGGTCATTATTTAGTTTTTCTGCTAACTCTATTTTGCCACGTAAATTTAGTGTAACATCAGAAATTTTCCCTTTCGTACGTCCAGCATGAGAGCGCGTAGTAGACCGTGTCTCTGAGAAGCGATGCGTGGAAATGCTTCTATGATCCATACTTGACATATGAGATTTTGGGATTATTTTTTTATCTTCAATTCCAACTAACAGATTTGGATCATTATTTAAAAGAAAGTCTTCCAGAACATAATTTTCTATTTTCAAAATATTTGTTTCGTTATGAAGATGGTTTATGGTATAGAAAATTTCCATTGCATCCAAGTTTCGTGCATATTCTACTTTTTCTTCCTCAGAAAGGAGCTCATAATGTGACAAATTCAATTTATTTAAATATGTTTCTAGTCTAATTTGATCTATCTTTTCAGGTGACAATTGCGTATCCTCTACTGTACCCCAACCCAATTCTTTCGATAAAGAAGCATCTGAACTTAATGAGAAACTCAGAGTAATCGATAAATCTTGCTCGGTCATCTTGGCTTAAGTTTCTAGACAACAGAAAATCGGAAATACTATATTTCTAAAATTTCTGTATTTTTAAATAATATGTTTCTATAATTTGCTTTTTAAATAAAATTTATAAGAAACGTAAGTTTGATATGAGTATATGATTATTTTTAATGAAAAAGTAACTTTTATTAAATAAATATTTATTGGTATTAAAAGTTATTACCATTTAATTAAAAATGCCATTGACCTCTTTATTACAAAGTTATGTTATTAGTCAACAATTTACAGCTTCCTAAACTAAGGCCACTACAGATACTCTGGATTATAGTACGAGTTTGCGCATAAAGAGACCCGAGACTGAAGTATTGCGATTTATTAATACGTTTTCCTTATCATTTTTTGCGGTTTAATAGTGCTAAGGATACAACATTAATACAAATTTTTTGAATATGCACATATGAAAATTTGAAATGATATAATTTATTGACTGTCAAAATTATAGTTTGGAAGTTTCTCTATCGACCGACTTCCAATATTTTTAAAAATATGAACGGAAAATGTTTGGATTGTAAATTAAATATGGTTTAGATCAGAATTAACGGACAATCTATGGAATCACGCATCACTACAAAGTCATCTTGCAACTTTAAACATGAATAAAACATAAATATCAAATATATATTTAATTTAAGTTATAAAAATTTTAATTTCTATTAATATAACAAACATCTGCTATTAATTAATTAATATAATTGATTATTCTATTAAAATCAATATAATACTTGATTGTTGTAAATTGGTGGTTTTCAAGGCAATTGCTTCTAGAAAATATTTCTGAATACTTCACTATAACTCCATTTTCAATTCGTAATAGATTTATGGTCATAGCACCAACATATTTTCTTAGTATGTATTTAACAAAAATTACTGAGTTAATAGTTTGTCTTTCATGGAGTATGAAAAACTGCAAAAAACTTACTTTATCATATTGTTTAAAATTTTAATGCCCTTTTCTGGCCCTTTTCAAGGCTGTGGTATACCCTGGTATATACCAGGGTTCATTACAAAATAAATTCTTTTTTCTTTACTAAAAGCAAATAACAAAAATTTTCAGTTCATTAATTTATTATAATTGTATGGCAAATTTAAACTACAGCAAGATATACAGTTCATTAATTTTATTATAATTGAATGATAAAGCTAAAGTTATACTAGATATATAAATAATCTAATAAATAAAGAATTAATTCAGTAATTTATTACAAATACTATTATTTTAAAATCAAAGTAGAACAATGCTGGAAAGAGAAAAGAAACGATATACCTAGTCGTGCACCTTTATTTTCTTGTTTTATTATTTAATAAATAATAATAAGAATAAGAAGAATAGGTGCTTACCACAGCTGCTATGAAGACGTCGCCCTTCACTGCTGTACCTAGCTATATTCATAAAAGAAAGAATACATGTAACACTAAAACTAGAATAGAAAATAGCTGTGCAATTACAAATATTTTGATCTATAATTTCTTTTATATATCTCTTCTCTGTTATTATAAAACTGATATCTCTGGTATTTCTTTTAGATATTCTGGCAAAAAAACTAACACAAGCTATTTGTAGATATTATCAATATGAGCAGAAATAAAATAAAAACAAAAAGAAAACTTAAGATTCCATTTCAAAATGAAGGACAAATAGGGTGTTGCTGTAAATAGGGTCTTTTGCTGATGTAATCCAGGCGGATCTCAAAGATTTTTGCTGTAGTACTTGCCTATGGGGCAAGTACCAAAAAGAGAACCAAAACGAGAGCTATTGTTCCTCAGCCTGTCCCTTTTATCCTATTTTTTTTATAATTGGTTGAGTCAGAATTTTCGGTTAGCCGTTTGAGGGTCAATGAACCCAACTTTTCGTCTCACCAGATATTCGGTTGTATATTCGGATTTCCAAACTTATGGGAGCTTTCGTTGGGTTTGCCGTTGGTTCTTTTTCTTTTCAGCTTGCGTGTCATGTTTAAGCTGCACTTTTAGTTTTTTCTATTTTTCGCTGCAAATTTTAATTATTATTATTATTATTTAAAAATAGGCTATTTATGCACCCCGACCTAAAAGATCTATTGTGCGCCTATAGGCCCAACTAGGACAATTTTAGACTATTTATAAATCTTATAATTGCAGTGGGCTTAATTTTACCTATTTGATTTGGGACCAGGATCCCGCTACCAAGGTAATCGAGTCTACGTCTTGCCACCGCTGGGCAGTTGCATAGAACATGTTCCGATGTTTCCTTCTCCTCATGACAGAGTCGACAGGAATCACTTTCTACCGCACCTATAATCTTCATGTGGTAATTAAGTCTACAGTGCCCTGTAAGAAGTTCAGTGTAGATTTTGATATCATTTCTGCTAAGGTTGATGATAGCATCAACTTTGATGTGTTCAGGATCAATGAATCTTTTTGACTGTCGCATGCCTTTTTGAGCTCTCCAGTGTTCAAGTAGATGCTGTTTCTCCCGTTCACATAATAAGTTGTTCGTGAAGCTATTTGTTACCCCGCAGAAGGGCTCTGGCCCAATGAAAGGAGTACATGCACCCTTCTTTGCTAATATGTCTGCTATTTCATTGCCCTCATGCCCCTCGTGTCCCGGTACCCACATAAGAGTAACATAGTTCCTCGATGCTAGGGTGTTGAGAAGTTGAAAGCATTCCCAAACCAGCTTTGATTGGAATAAGGATTTTGCTAAAGATTTTAGAGCTGCTTGGCTATCTGATAGAATGCATATGTTGGTACCTCGGGTGCCCCTACGTATGCATTCTCTTGCACAAAGCTCTAAGGCATGGACCTCTGCCTGAAAAATGGAAGCAGTTTTTCCCATTGCGATTGCTTTACGGAAGTTTGGTCCCATAACTCCTGCTCCTGCACTGCCATTATCCATTTTGGACCCATCAGTATACCATAATTGAGAGCCCTGCTTTAAGTTTATTTTATTATTTCTCCAAGTTGATCGGTCACTAATGACCACTTCGAATTCCCTGGAGAAAGCTAATTTTCTATTCATCTTGTCGAAGACCTTAAGGCACGGAGATTTCCAGATTTCATCTAGAATCTTTGCGTGTCCTGTCAGATTGCCCTCTTTAAGATTACCTAGATAAGGAAGCCTTAGTGCAGCACTGGTCGCAGTCCTTTTAACTGTAATGTGTAATGGGGTGAGTCCAGTGAGCATTGCTAGGGCTTCTGTGGGGCACGTTCTCATTGCTCCCGTTACGCTTAGACAGGCTGTTCGATGAATCTTATTGAGAGTCATCTTAGCCTTCGTCTGATTTACCTTTGGCCACCATGCCAAAGAAGCATAGGTCATCATCGGTACTATTACGGTCTTGTACGACCAAGCCATCATTTTTGGTCGCAGACCCCATGTTTTACCATACAGTCTTTGGCACGCATAAGTTGCTCTTAGAGCTTTGCCAGTTATATATGATAAATGGTTTTTCCAAGTAAGAGTTTTATCTAGAATTACTCCTAGATATTTCATTTCCTCAGAAAGTATTAAGTCAGTGTCCCCTAACTTTAAGGTCCCTAGACTCATCTTCCTTCTTCTGGTGAAGGGTACTACATTTGTTTTATTCGGATTAATCGAGAGTCCTTTCTCTTGACACCAATTTTGAGTGATATCAAGAGCTAGTTGCATACGATCGGATATGGTGGAGTCAAATTTGCCTCTAACCATGATGACTAGATCATCTGCAAAGCCCTGAACTTCATATCCGAGGTCACTAAGAGACTGTAGGAGTTCGTCAATGACCAATAGCCATAGGAGTGGCGAAAGAACGCCTCCTTGAGGACATCCTTTGGTTGACTTGACAGTTAATCTCTTCGTCCCCATTTCAAAGATTATCGTCCTATTTTTCAGCATATTGAGAATCCATTTTATGATCAGTCTATGTATTCCTTTCCTGACCATTCCTGCCTCAATTGATCTGAATGTTGCATTATCAAAAGCTCCTGTAATGTCAACCGATGTGCAGAGAGCTATTTCCTTACCGTCTAAAGCCTTCTCGATTTTACTCGTCAGACTATGTATAGCGGTGTCGGTCGATTTGCCCGACTGATAAGCATACTGTTCAATATGTAGAGGTGAAGCTTTAATATAGACTTCCCTGATGTATTGATCTAGAATCTTCTCCATTGCTTTAAGCAGGAAAGAAGTAAGGCTAATGGGCCGAAAAGCTTTTGGCGTGTGATCCGCCTTTTTGCCTGCTTTCGGTATGAAAGCTACCCTAGCCTTCGTCCAATGTT